TTAGAACAAACAATGCATGATATACTTCTTTCTAACATTAATTTTAAAATTTCATTCCTTTCTTTTGAATGTCATTACTCTCTCCTATTGCTTTGCGTAGCAAAGTTATTTCCATTATCCTTTCTCTTCGAGTTCGAGTTGTTTTTTTCTCTGCCTGAACAATGTGCTCATTTTATGTGAGCTGCCGCTAGGGGTTTTCGTAGGTGCGCTTTCTGCTTCACTCACTTCAAATGTTTGTGATAAGGCTTCTGGTTTATCTCTTATTGGTGGCATGCTCGAAATTGTATGTGGTATATTTACACTTTCGTCTGCTTGAAATAAATCGTCAAATGATTCATAATGTTCCCACGAAATTCTACCCCTTCCAGTCCTAGTTGTTGTATCTTTGATTCCAGTGTTAGTCCAGTCAAATTAGCGCAATTTTGGACAAATAAAAACATTAATTGGTAAAGATCTGAATTTTGGTATACACATTTATTGGGACTTTCTATTGAACATATTAAAAGTCCCTGTCAAAATCTGTTGCGCTCGAGACGCCATCTTGGAAAAACGGTACACTTTTCCAGTTTTTTTCCCATGTCTCCGCAATTATTACTGACACGAAGAAATAGTTTACATGAAAAATATAGTTTACTAAATTCCCTATAAAAAAGAGTATTTACATTTTTTTTGTATCTCCAGTACTTTAGCTGTAATCTCACGTTGAATACGTCAGAACGCGTTTAGGCCCCGTATCGTAATTATAGGAGGCCGTCTTTTTTATGACTACATCGATAGCTGTAATAGAGCCAAAAAATGAACAGAATCGTCGTGCGATAAAGCATTCTACCAATGACATAATGTTTGATGATACATCATGTTTTTTTCAAAAAGGTAAGCGAAAATGTGTAAAAGTGTTGGAGCAACGAAATGATTTCTGAAGCTGAAGAACGCCCTTATCTGCAAAATATAACGTGCCTGCTAGTGAGAGATATTAAAACCGACATCGTTATCAGACCTTCAGAATGACCTTGACCCTGTTCGGACACTCAGTGCTCACATTGAAGATGAAAGTTCTATTGAGAGAGAGTTTTATGAGAAACCTTACTAAACGTGTCTCATACCAAGCTTGAGTGCGACGACTTCGCATATATAAGAAATACTGGTAGAATTTTCAATGAATTTTTAATGATTTGTAAAAAGTTGTAAAAAAATATCTGCGCGACTGTTTCGAGAGCTCAGGATACTTGATTCCCTATTCGATGTCCGATTATAGCTAAAGTATTGGGCATACAGAAAAATGTTAATATGCTTTTTTATGGGCAATTTAATAAACTATATTTTTTATCTGAACTATTTTTCCGTATCAATAATTGTTGCCGATATATAGGCAAGAAACTGAAAAACTGCTCCTTTTTTCCAGGATGGTGCCTCGAGCGCAACAGATTTTGACGGGGACTTTTAGTATGTCCAATGGGGAACACTAATGAACATGTGTACCAAAATTTCAGATCTTTACCGATTAATGTTTTTATTTTTTCTTATTTGACTGGACTATGTAGGTTTTCTTTAATTTCGAAATTTTCTGTCTAACATTTCTTCGGTTACCTCGTAACCTTCCTTTAAAAATTGACTTTTAATTTGTGCTTTTTTTTACTATTTAGGTAAGGACGTTTTATCACGTATTTCTGGAAAATATTGGGTAAAATTATACTAAATAGATTCACCCAAGAACTTTTATTTTTAAAATATTTCAAAACACTAGATCTAAAACTAAGATAGTAGCTTTAGTTTAAGTAAAAGAAGTTGCAGACGGCTATTATTCTCAAATAGAGGGAATTAGGGGTAAAGAAACGTAATGGTCAATGTTAGACAATGAATAGATATTAAAAGGGCAAACCAAACATTTTGCTTTTACAGAAGAAATAGGGCATATTTCCACATTGTTATTTGATAAATTGATAAAATGTCTTTCATTAAGCAAAATGAATTTGCATTACTATAAGAATTTATTTTAATTTCAAAGGACTCTAATTGAATCATTTTAAATTGTGTACAATTTCGCAAATCACGAGGCAAAAGTCCATTATGATACTTTTGAAACAGTCCTGTATCCATTATATTAGTAGCTTGATAACCTATTTCATCTAATCGCTTACAAAGTTGCTGCAGAGGTTTTGAGGGAGATCTTACTAGACGTTTCAAATAACCAAGATAATTCTCAAACGCAAATGCTGAAAAGTTATCTAAAGAACCGTATAATGCTTACATCTTTAATAATAGTAACTGTTCTGGTATCCAATTTTTCAATTGCATCACAAGACGTACTTGGTCGAACTTCTGTCCTACGCCTACCACGTACCTCCGCAGTTACAGGATTAGTAATATCTGTGAAACTTACACAGTCATTGACAGACATCTCCCTTCTAAAACATAACTGTTGCACAGAAGCAGCAGCAGCTTCAGCTGCTCTTCGGTACACTTGCCTGCGCCCTACAACTTCCTTTCTCTTTCTTTTATACATAACTATAAACTAAATTAAACAGGTAAACAATCAAAAAAGTATTAATATTAAAAAAAATTCTTCAACTGTTGTCACTTCGGCAACAGTATTGAGTGGTAACTGTACAGGAATATCTAGAGGAAGGTGATTCTTTGGTAATGAAGCAGTAGTCAGAGCCACCTGTTGATTACGGAGCAAGCCTATTATTTCTTTATTTTGTTCTTTTAATACAGCAATTTCTTTACTTTGCTCTCTAATCAGCGCCGGTTTAGGAACATTTTCTCCCCTAGGCACAGCCCTTTAAGCGCCCACCCGACACGTAAAAAAATCCTTTATTAAAAAATTAGTCTTTAATAGAAAATAAATGGAATAGTACGAAAGCGCCTAAGGGTCACAAAATTATAATAAAATTATCTTTTCCAATATATTGGAAAAAAATTGAATGTATTGGGAAAAAAATTGAATATATTGGAAAAAAATTGAATATATTGCGAAAAAAATTGAATATATTGGAAAAGAACATATTATTGTCACACACTCAACACTTATGTCGGATATTGCAGAGTGAGTTGCGAGTTTAATGTGCAGTGGCGTTTGTGGAAAATCTAAATGAATAACGTAGATTTATTTGATGCACCTAGCAACGCATTACGATGAAATACTGGCTTTTATCTATTTGAGACATAATGTAGAGATGAGTTTATCAACACTTAACCGTAAATTGAAGAAGTTAAAATTGTATAGAAAAAAACATTATTCGGATTTATCCACAATCATCGATTTTATCTAAAGCCAATTAAAAGAATCTGGTCAATTATGTGGATATCGTTGGATTCATCATAGATGTATACAGAATGGATTTGTTGTGACACAGGCTACAATTATAGTAGGTAATTTTACAAGAATTGGACCCAGGAGGCGTAGAATACAGAAAACGTAAAAGACTACGCCGACGAAAATATTCGACAAATGGCCCTAATTATGTATGGCATATGGACGCATATGACCAGAGACTTATAACTAGACCGCGCGTAACGTAGATTTTGCTATAAACGCATGTTATCAAGATAGGATAGGCAACCAACTGTTCATCGCGGGGCGGACGTATACGTTCTGCAGCTTGCTTTAGCCATGTTTATTCTAAATTTTAGTAGCAAAAAAAGATAACATATCGCACATCTAGTTCAATAGTGCCATAAGTGCAAAAAATTCAAATTTTCACTTAAGTCCATATTGCTGTTCTTCTATGTCTAACGCATGCACTGCAATATAGCCATATGTAACATTTTAATATTATTCAATGCAGTGTAAGATATTTCCCTATTGCAGGTTCATAGTATTGTGGTGCAATAGAGCCGTAACTGTCAGTTGTGGCCATATGATTCTTGAATACTTGCGCATCATGGTGCGCTACCGCCGCAAACAACAGTTATGGCTCTATAGCATCAAAAACTATTTTGCCGCTATAATTATGACGCAGTTGCTTTCCTACCAACAACAGTGAAGTGTGTGTTTGTTTCCGCTGGCAACAGATTAATTTGGTGTTAAGTGAACAAATATTGTATCTTGAGCGAGTATTGCACATTCGTTTGTTATTATGTCTCGTGCAAAAAAGTTAGTAAAGTTGGCTTTAGATAAAGATAACATTGAAAACGAGGATCCGAAAGAGAGTGAGGTTCGAGTAAACAAACGCTTGGTTTTATAATCTCTAGATGTATTTGTATTTTAGAACACCTCTAAACCAAAGAAAACGTATGCTGAACTTCAAAATTGCCAGTTGGTACCTAACGTAATATTACAAGAAGTAAGTCTAAAGCGGGGTTCACATTTGTGCATTTCCATGCTGCAACTGTGATGCGGCATTAAAATGCTTGCATTTTTCCCCTTCACATTATGCATTTTTTCTTGCAATTTTTGATGCGCATGGAAATGCATGCTTTAGACCACGTTCTATTTTGTATGCATTTTTTGGCGCATCTTTAGTAATATTTTTAGGAATATTTCTCTTGCCAATAGCTAGAATTAAGTTTGCAAAGTTCGTTGACTCATGGCTGTTTATGTTTCTTAACCTTACATTTTAATTTTAAACAGTTTGGAATTGGGTTAATTATTTTATTTAGTGTTAAAAATAAACCGTGAAATACGTGCTTTTCCATGGTCGCGTACCTTAGTGGAGGACCTTATAATTTTGTACGAAGCGCAACCCTTATTGTATACAACGAAAATGAAAGAATATAAGAATAAAATGAAACGGCAAAATGCAATACAATCAATAAAAAATGAATTGATGAAAAAGTATCAGGTTGAGTGCCGCAATTTAACGGACCAAGACATAATTAAAAAAGTACACGTAATTCGGACGCAAAATTTTTTATTATGTCGGGGTAATGTCGTTAATTGGGATCGAGTTATAACTTTCTAAATAGTCTAAATAATCATTTCAGCTCAATACCAGACATTAGCTGGAAACGATTCCTCAAGGAGTTTCTGTCACAGCTCAGCTGATTTTTTTTCTGCTGGGATCACTTGCACCTGCTTGATAGACAACCCATCGTACAGACCTCGCTAAATGAATGCCTACATTCGGCACACAGGATAAGCTAGGAGCAATTTCACTGAATGCATAGGGCTTATTGCAAATTTTGGGCACAATTTAGTCTACCAACAGGTCAGTTGGTAAATGCAGTAATTTTTTTAGTAATAAAATAAGTATTAATGTTACAGGTACCTCATCACCTTTAACCCTTTGTGCCTCTAGACTTTGACTAACTATCCCTTAGCCTTTTTTTGTCCAGTGGTTGTTCAGCAGATTCCTACGAACCGAAACTTTGGTGTTTTGACATGCTGCAGTTTTTAAACGAATGCGATCCAGTGAGGGAAAGCCAATCAAATATTGAACCATCAGTAAGTATTTATTTATAAGGTTTTTAAAATAATCACATTGTAATTGATTTTAAGGAGACCCAAATATTCACGCCCAATGGTACTACAGTTACATATGATGAGGATATTGTGTTTGAAGGCACGCTGGAAGACCTGGATGAATATGAAGTTGATGCTTTCAATAACAGTCCATGCACTTCACAAACATCGACATCAAGGGCAACTACACCTACAGTATCAAAAAGCAAGAGGAAAATGCAGAACTCTGTGGCAGACCTAATCCAAACCGCTGTACAATCCCTCGAAAGTTGCAAAAAAAGGCCCCACATTGAAGATGAATTTGATATATTTGCAAAGTAAGTGTTTTAAATAGCAATTAAATAAGTTGCCAGTGATAAATATTAAAAAAACTATCAATTTTTATTATGTTGTAGGACAATCGCAACAGAGTTGAGGAAAGTCGAAGACCCTTACAAAATACGGATGTTGAAGAAGGAGATATTTACAAAAGTTGTTGATGCTCAATATGATTAGATTTTATTTTGTACATTTGTTTATTGATAATAATAATGCTATGCTAAGTCATTTTGCCATTCTACTGCTCCTATACCATTTACATATTGTACAAATTCATTTCGATTATCAAGTGCTGATGCAGTTGACCTGTTGCCTGCTTGTCGACTTAAGGTGTACTTAAATGTGAATCGCCTATCAATGTTCTGTTCCTTAACATCATAACCATTTGGGGACCTTGTTCGCAAAAAATTATGTAGCACAATGCATGCTAGAGTTAATGTTTGGGCCTTACTTGGGTCCAAACTTATAATGTTCAATAATACACGAAAACGATTTGTTAATATCCCAAATGCGTTCTCCACAACTCTTCGTGCTCTGCTTAGGCGATAATTGAATATACGTTGTTGCCAAGTCATATTACGAAATGGAAACGGCTTTAAAATATGACGGGATAATGGAAATGCTGCATCAGCAACTATTACATATGGTACTGGTTTGGTACCCGCTGGCAATGGTCTTTCCTCTGGAAAATTTAATTTGTTTGTTTCAATCGCTGCAGCAAGTGAACTATTCTTGTATACACCCCCATCTGAAATTTTTCCATTTCTACCCACATCGACATATAAAAAGCTATAATTGGCATCAACCAAAGCCAATAGTACGATACTGTGTGTGTGCTTATAATTAAAATATGACGATCCTTCATTTGCGGGAGCTTTTATAACAACGTGTTTACCATCTAATGCACCTAACACATGTGGCAAGTTCCATCTTTCTTCAAATTCATTAGCAATTTTTAACCATTCTTGGGTTGTAGTAGGCATCTAAAAATATTATTTAGTTAAACATCATTTTTATTCATTGTCGAGTGTAGCTGTATCTACCTTTAAATACTGATTTTTTAAATTATTGTAAATGGCAATGCAAACTTCTGGGATTATTCCAGCAATTGTTGATTGTCCCATTCTAAATGAAAAGGAAAGACTTTTATAAGACTCGCCAGTAGCTAGATAGCGCAATGTAACAGATAATCGGTCTTTGGCCGAAATTGCATTCCTGAATTTAGTGTCCTGTTTCTGTATATCATTTTCAATAAGTTTCAATAGATCATTGAAAGTATCTTCATCCATTCTAATAAAATTCTTGTAATTTTCTTTATCCAGCACTGCTAATTCATTGTGCAACAAATTAGAATTGCCTTGACTATTTGTTTCCCGTTGCTCAATCCATGGTCTTACCCACCACCGTCTCTTACGATTTAATAATAAAGCTGCAGATGCACCAATTATAAGTGTTATTAGAACAATTTCTTCCACATCCATACTTCAAGTATTTGAACTTTGAGGGAAAAATTTATAAGAAAAACACTTTTATTTTTTACTCCAGAATGCCAATTGAGGAGAACTGGGTTGGCAAAAAGTAAATTCCCTAACTAGTGATATTTGTAATTGCATCAAAAATTGCAGTAATCTGAATAGCTACGCGCGCATGAAAAAATGCAGCAACTTGATGCGCCATCAAATGCAGCATGAAAATGCACAAATGTGAACCCCGCTTTAATGAATCTGTCATGATTCACGACAAATAATATTGTCATTTATTTGAATTTTTATTATTTTAGTATTCTACGAATCAACCCTTTTTATTGGACTTAGAGGTAGATTTTTCGAAATACAATGATCTCATTTTTGGATTAGAGGCACATAACGTAAGTTGATTTAACTTTAAATAACAATTATGTACTTATTTTTATATTAGAACTCAACAACGCTAGATTTACCAGGATGCTCAGGGAATACTGCAGTGTCAGAGATTAGTAATGGACATGTTGTGACTCCCTTGGACGACCAGCAAGCGGAGGAGGTGACCAGTTAATATCAGAATCTTCCCATATTACACTCATTTGCGTTCTAGATTAATAATGATGCAGCCATTTTTGACTCAGATGATTCCATTAATGATAAAGATTACACACCTTCAGGTGATGATTCTAGTTCACCAGAAAACACAAGCTCTGAAATCGAAGTGAACCCTAATAATGATGTAGAAAAACGGATTATCGCTGAAGCTCAAGATGAAAAGAAAAAACCACGTAAAATAATCGCTAGGCCCGAAACTTGGAAAAGGAACGTGAAAAAAATGAGGGTAAATTCAGGTTTGCCCTATGTGTCTGAAGGTAATAGGGAGATTCCTGGAAAACGTTTAAAACCTCCTTGTACAACAAAATGCAGGTCAGCGTGTACTACTAAATTTACCGATGCTGATAGACTAACTATTCACACTTGTTTTTGGAAACAAGGAGATAATGCTCTTCAAAGACAATTTGTAAGTAGTCACATGGAAACTCTAAAAGTAAAATACCGTCGAGCCATTGAGGGAAGTAATCGCAGTGAAAATTTGTGTTATTACTTGACGCTGCGAGGAATTAAAATACAAGTGTGTAAAACATTTTTCATGAACACCCTGGACATTGGTGATAAGTTTATAAGGACAACATGGAAAAAATCGAATGGTAATGCTCTGATAGAAAGAGATCGAAGAGGAAACTTCAATAAGAGGGAAACAATCAATACTTCGATTAAAGAAAAAATTGTTGCTCACATCAACTCTTTTGAACGAATAGAATCTCATTATCTCAGAGCACAGACGACACGTGAGTACATAGACGGATCTTTAACGATAGCGCAAATGTATCGATACTATAAATCCGAGCAAGAGGCTGAAGGGTTGCCAGTTGCCAAAAAATGTACCTATGAACACATTTTTAAAACCCAATTTAACATATCATTTTTCCAACCTAAAAAGGACCAATGTGCAATTTGCGAAACCTTTAAAAATTCTGATACAGACGAAAGATTGTCGCTTCAGAAAGGATACGAACGGCACATTAACAACAAAATCAAGAGTAGAGAAGAAAAGGCTCGAGACGTCGAGAAAGGAAAACAAGATTCTTCCTTTAAAATAGCCTGTTTTGACTTACAAGCGGTTTTACCGACGCCTTGTGGAGATGTTTCCACATTTTATTACAAATGCCGTTTAAATTGTTTGAACTTCACAGTTTTTGAAATACCATCGAAAAGAGGGTTTTGTTACTTTTGGCATGAGGCGATTGCTAATAGAGGTGCTAATGAAATAGCAACTTGTATATTACATTATTTAAAAACGGAGTGCAAAGGAAAAGATGTCATCTTCTATTCCGACAACTGCGTAGGGCAAAATAAGAACAAAATGATTGTTTCTATGTATCTCTGCGCAGTTAACAAATTTGATGTCAAAAGCATTACACATAAATTCCTTACGGTAGGCCATACCCAAAATGAAGGAGACTCAATGCACGCCAGTATTGAGCGCCAGAAGCGTAGAGTACTAAGAAGTGGCCCTATTTATGTACCGTCACAATGGGCTCCAATTATCAGAGCGGCCAAGAAAGAAGGTACACCCTACATCGTGAATGAACTTGCCACAGAAGATTTTCTGGATTTTAAAAAATTTAGCGACACAATTGGGAAAAATTTTTCAATTAATTCCAAACAAGAAAAGGTTGTGTGGAATGAGATTCATGTTCTACGCGTAGAAAAAAATTATCCAACGTCGTTTTTTTATAAAACTGACTTTGACTTCCTTGAATATGAACAAATTAACATCCAGGAAAAACTAAGGCGTTGCATTGACATTAGCGCATCTTATCCCGAAAAGGCCTTTGTAAAAGCCCCATCGATATCTCAAAAAACTAAAGAACATCTTGCTTATTTATGTGCAAAAAATGCTATTAAAAAAGTGTACCATGGGTTCTATAATAACATAATTGGTGAAAAGTAATCGTTTAACTTTTTTAGGGCCGGTTGTTCAATCACGGTTTAAACTGCAGATTAGGTAATCTGTAGTTTAAGATAATCCACAGTTTATCTTTTATTGCGTTGCTCATTTGCAGTTTAGAGAGAGTTTAACTAAACTGCGTTTAATGAAATTTCTATTGGTGGCAACACTGTAATCCGCTCAAATTTTGACGTTTACGCTATTCAAACTTCAAATTTGGTTTGTTTACAAGCGCGTATGTTGTTTTGTTCGTGATTGAAATAGTGTATGTATTTTTTGTGTAATTAATCGTGGCTAGTAACACCGTTTGGAAATGGAGAATGCTGATTTAATACGGAAGCGACAACGATCTGTAAACTTCAATCCAACCGAAGAAGCGATGCTTCTGCAGCTCGTCAAAAAGTTTCGAGCAACAATAGAATGTAAAAAAACCGACGTTCTTAATAACCGCATCAAAGACGCTGCATGGAACCAACTGGCTGAGGAGTTTAATGCTGCAGGAGGTCAAGGAAGGGATGCGAAAACACTCAGAAGCAAATATGAAAATATAAAAAAGGTTTCAAAGAAAAAATTTGCAAATGAAAAGAGATATTTAAATGCTACTGGGGGAGGGCCAGCGAAGAAAATAATAACGACGGATGTAGACGAGCAAGTAAAGGAATTGCTTGGAACTCAAGTGACAGGGATGGAGTCGATGGTAGATGACGATTGTGAAGGTAAGATTACTTTTTTTCAGTGTACATCACAATGCACTAATGAGAACTCGGAATCACAGAGAGTGATATAGTGGACATTGAGGAGCTGGAATTGCTATCAAATGCCACTGTATTAATGGAGAAAAATACTCCAGCCGCTCCAAAGGCTGATGATGTTATTGTAGTTTGCGATACGCAAAATTTAGAGAATCGACTGATACTACCTTCCACCTCGAAGGTGGATTGGGGCTCACATACTGCTGCATCGCTGCGTACGCCCAGATCAAAGCCGCTAGTAGTGAAGAAAGGTAAAGTTAATGATAGCATAGTTTTTTTTATAAACATACAATTACATAGGAATTACATAAGTAGCAGTAGTTGTAGTTGTACGTTTCACATTTCAATAGATAATCAAATTTAGATAAATGTTTTTATTCAAGGAGAAACATCTTCATCTGGGAAGAAACCTGTTTTGAGAGACAGGATGAATATATGGGCTGCCAATAAAGCAGAGAAACAAATGGAGGAAAAACAATGTCTTCAAGAGCTGCACGAAGTCAGGCTGGAAATTCTACGGGATGAAAGAAAATTCAAATCTGAAGAACATCAACTTCGCATGGAGCACTTAAAAGAAATTCACGCTCTTAATAAGGAGATGAAACTTGCCGAAATAGCTGTAATAAAGAAAAACCTGTGAATTGGTATACATAATAAATTTTTGGAAATACATAATAAATTTTTGGAAGGCGATGAGTATTTCTATATAGAAACAAATTTAGTAGTATTTTAACAAAAACATCGAGTAGCTTTATTGTAGCAACAAATTTCGAAAATAATTATTAATTAATGCGTGACGAGCACGGTTATTAGGTCCTATTCTTGCTTCATCTCCTACTGCATAATTGTTATTGTTAACGTTTTCTAAGTAGTGTACAGCCTCTTCAACATCTGGATTGTATTCAGGATCTGGAATGTTTCTCATTCTTGCAATATTATGCAACACAGCTGTAGCAACTATAATTGGCTGAATTCTGTCCAACCTCACACGCATTCCAAAAGCAAGTACGGGAAATCGTCGTTTCCATATTCCAAAGCATCGCTCTATCACGTTTCTAGTTCTTATTTGTGATTCATTGTATAAATTTTCTTCTCGTGTATGGGGATTGGAGAGTGGTGTAAGAAGATATGGTTTCACTGCGTAACCACTATCGCCAACAATCACACATCCGTCGAACTCATTCTGTTCTAGTCTAGCTCGTAATCTCGAATTATTAAAGATTGTAGAATCGTGTGCCGAACCTTGCCATCGAGCAACAATATTAATAAATCGTAGATCTGCATCACACACTGCTTGCACATTGAATGAGAAGAATTGTTTCCTGTTCCTATATATCTCTGCATTGTCTCCGCCGGGCGAAAGAATTTTTACGTGTGTGCAGTCTATTGCCCCTATACACGAAGGAAAACGGCTAATAGCATAGAAGCGACTTTTGGAATAATTTTTTTCGTCATCAGTATCGGGCATCTTTATGTATTGTTTGTATAGTCTTGCAATTGCCATCGACACCTGCGCAACAATCCTGCTTGCTGTCGACTTGTCGATCCCACAGAAATCACCAACAACAATAAGCATTGAACCCGTAGCGTAAAATCGCAATGTAACTAGCAGCATTGTTATTGGTGTGACGGCGTGGTTTCTAAATTAATACAAAAATAAGTGTAAAACATTCATATTCATAGCCATAGCAAGTTCGAGAATACCTGCACAACTTCAAAATGCTCACCTTTCCGTTTTACGCGCAATGTGGTCACTTATTTTTTCCAAAACTTCCAGTGCCCCTTCTTTTGTTAAACGAAATCTTTCAACAAACTCCTTTTCACTTAATATATTAAAATAATCAGGCCTCTTTCTAATATTTTTCGAAACGAGAGGTTCTTCTTCATCGTCCAAAAACAACTGCATTAGCTCCAAAAAATCTTCATCATCAGTAATTGGCTCATCAAAATCCGTGTAGTTCATCTTGATTAACAAACCATGAGACCAACAGCCCAAAATGACAAGAATATTTGGGGTTATGTTTGACGGTTTAGGAGCGTTAAACGGCCCTCTTTCACCGTTTAGTTAAACCTCTAATCTAAACGGAGTTTAACGTTAAACCGCAGTGGTACAATGCATTAAACTAAGCTTACAGCTTTAAACGCCAGTTTAAGCTAATCTACAGTTTAAACCATGATTGAACAACCGGGCCTTAGAGTATAATGAACGTGCTTTTATATACTTTTATATATTTTTTACTTTTGAATAAAAAAAATATTTCAGTTAGTAATTTACTGCAATAACGCCACAACTACTAGAAAACTATTTGGTTTTATGCACGGGTGGTTCAAAAGTGGTGGACGCAATATGGCCACAACTAACAAAATTATACTTTTAATTAATCCATTGATAATGGTATAAATTAAAATCAAAGTATCACATTAAATAATCAATGTATGACAAGGCGCACAAAAATCGATAGTAATATGCAATTGTTATGGTTGGATATCTAAACAGCACTAACTTTATTTGCACGTACTCTAACATTGTTGTGTTGGCACTTGCGGCACTATTGAACTAGATGTGCGATATAGCTGTTAACGTATTTAATCGAATTTATTGGTATTTTATTTGAACTAAATTGGTATATAACTGCCTTGCTCTAGTCCTACTTTGATTTATATGTGTATTTTGGTGGTGAACACTTATGGGAAAATATACTCTTAAAACTAAAGATGTAAGTAGTAAGATATGATTATTTAGCGGATTTTGATTCAATATATGCCTATCCAAAAACCCAAATGGGTTGTAACTGTTATTTATTTTTCTTAGACTGCTGATAACCATTTTGTTTACAACGTGGTGTGGTGTGGATTGAATGAAAAACCTGAACACATTTTCAGCAATTTGGCAAATTTTTAATGCATCGCTTGATACGTGCAACAATCCTCCACGATTTTTCTAGTTAAAAGCTTTGAATGATGGAACATTTAACAGATTTAGCTATTTTTCTTGTACAAAACCTGAAATATACTTAGTACCAGTAAGTACTTAGTTACGTCTATACCTAATAGGCAAATAGGTAGGTACTGCCGTTATCTTGCTGGTAAAGGATGTGGAATAATAGTTCTACGTTATTTTAAGTGAATGGGAAAGTCGAAAACGCTCGGTATTGCATTATTGTTTAACATCTTCGTAGGTACCTTTCTAAAATCGGCTTCATTCCCCGCAAATGCACTATGGTGGGGGTACATTTTTCTCTTCGAATGGCTCTGATCCATTTGCCCTTTAAACTTTTATCCGTTGAAAATCAGCATATTATTTAAAAAATTATCGATAGAGTACATGTTGATAGGCACAAGTTAACCTAAGTTTATTGGTTTATTCTCAACAGAATTATCTGTTCACTAATTCGAGCTAATCACGAGAATGATTAATGAACGGAACATCTAAAATAACAGCTTATTTCATTATATTGCATATCATCTCAGCGATTTTTGCCCCGCGGTGCATTGTGTGTTGCATACTGTGTCGACAACACCTTAGATACGTTAAGCGCAGTCTATGGGTGACATCAGTCCGTCCATAAATGAACTGGTGAAATTTAGTACATGCATATAAAATTGAAAGCATTTCTTTTTCGATTTGCGCATAGCGCTTTTGAGTACTAGTGAATGCCTTGGAAGCATACGCAACTGGCTTGTTATTTTGTAACAAAACTGCACCACAGCCCTCACTTGATGCATCACAAGAAATAGTTATAGGATCGTTAATTGAAAAAAATGCCAATACTGGTGCCTCAATTAAAGCTTGCTTTAAATGATTGAAGGCTACTTCGTGATTATTTTCCCAATGAAATATCACATCATTTTTTAATAATTCCCTAAGAGGTGCTGTGACAGTAGAATAATTTGGAATGTACTTATTTAGATAATTAACAAATCCTAAAAATCTCTCTACCTCTCTTTTATCCTTTGGTTGACTCATTTTATATATTGCCTTCACCTTTGTTTCATCAACTTCTAATCCCTTTTCACTGATTGTATGACCAATGTAATTTACTTTCTTTACAGCAAACTTACACTTCCCATAATTATATCTTAACCCATGCGCTTGAGCTAATTGAAACACCTTTTGAAGTCTTAAATTATGCTCCATTTCTGTTTTCCCAAAAACCAAAATGTCATCGATATATACTTCCATCTTGTCCCTCAAAAATGTCTCTTAAACGTTTCTGGAACACTTCGGATGCTGAAGCTATTCCATACGGCAATCTTAAAAATTTATAACGTCCAAATGGAGTATTAAATGTACACAGCTTACTGCTTTCTTCAGTTAATTCTATTTGCCAAAACCCATTTGAACAATCAATCAATAACACTAAAATACTTCGCCCCTTTTAATTTACTAGTTATATCCTCCAATAAAGGAATATAAAAATGTTCCCTTTTAATTGCATTATTTAAATCCTTGGGATCTAAGCACACTCGGATATCTAAATTTTTCTTAGGAACAATCACCAATGAATTAACCCATTCTGTTGGCTCTTGTACTTTTTGAATAATTTGTAACTTTTCCATTTCATTTAATTTGTTTTTTTAATTTCCCATATAATGCGAAAGGTACTTTCCTAGGTGGGTGTATTTTCGGAGCTCTATTTTGTTGTAATTTAATTTCATATTTTCACCTTTTATACAACCAATACCCTTAAAGAGATGTTTGTACTTTTCTAACATCTCAGTTACAGAGGAAGTTAGATTGACCTGATTTAATTGAGTACAGCGTTCTATTAATTTTAATTTCATGCATGCATCAAGCCCTAATATAGCTTTATTTAAATTAATTATTTGAAATTTAAGACACTGAGAAACATCATTGCCTGCCTTAATTTGTAAATTACAGGTTCCAATAGGTTTTAACGCTTCATTTGTTATTGTAGTAATTACACCCTCAGTTTTGTTTAATTCAATTTGATTTAACTTAGTCAGGTTATTATACTCTCGAAGCGGAGTAATATTACAGTCCGCGCCAGTATCTAGCCTAAATGCGATTTTTGTTTTTTCATTTACAATACAATCCTCACACCAGCTTTCTAAATAATTTACTTCTTCATTTCCAACCTCTAAATCTAAATTCCCTATAAACACATCATTATCTTGTTCCCAGTTCAATAGCGAACATCACTGAAACTTTAGAAAGAGAGGAAAGTTCTACACATTGCTATCTTTGTCTACACGTCTACCAACATGGGCGCGCAATATAATCCTAAAGTTATATTGGTACAATGGTTGTAACTAGACGTTCTATAACTTTACTTCCTTGTTTACTTTTGTCCGTTTCGTTTGTATTGTACCTTTTGCACTCGCTTTTACCCTTATAATCTTAGTTTCTGCTTTTACTTTCACACTTCCGTCGCATTTATACCTTTCTTTCTATTACCTATTCGTATTTTTCGCCTTTACATTACACTTCCAATCATTTATTTCCCAAGTACCCTACAAAATCTGTCTTTTTGAAGACAAAACTATCTAGTTCACGTCCATTTCATGTAAGTAGTACCTAAGTGTTTTTATCTAACTTGCTAATTAAATTTGTTTAGATTTGCAATAATGGCTAAATGCTTTTACAAGAATTGTGAAAATACGAAACGATCAAAGAGAGGCTGCAATCTTCGTTATCATCCATTCCCGAAGCCATTTCGTAACATGGTAAAATGCTTAGTTTGGTTAAACAATTGTGGAAACGAGGACTTAAACATACATAATATAACAAAAAATGTGTACGTGTGTGAAAGTCATTTTCAAAAAGGTTTTGCTGATCCGGTACCGTATTATTTAACAATTCCCATGGAATTGGCTAGGAAGCATAGAAGTTTCGAAGTAGCGGAATATGTAGAAGTGGCAAATGTTGAAGAACAATCTCGAGAACAACAGCCTTCTTTACACAATGACCACCCATACAACAAGGCTGTACCTACTACGTCACACGTTGATTATACTAAAGCGACTCTTAAGCAAGAACCTACTAATAACTTCATACAGGACTTTTTCCTGTATGCCTCCCTTTCGAAAAGTAAACATTTCAGTTTGTTTACTGGATTGAGCGTGAAGGCTTTTGAAATTTTATATAAATTGCTGGATGAAGAAGTAATGCCTTCACTGAAGTACACATACAAAGTGAGAACTCCAATTAGAAAAAGAAAACTCATGATGTTATCAGATAGAGATAAGTTATGCTTAACACTTATTCGTTTACGAAGAGGTTACACTATTAAAGAACTTTCAATATTTTATAAATTGAGTGAAACTTATGTGTCAGTCATATTTTACACTTGGGTGCGGTTTATTTACCTTCAAACATGTTGTTTTCGTAACGATTTGATAAAGGGATCCCGTCAAACAGAAAGACATTATATGCCAGCTGTAGTCCGAACATTTGAAGACAAAGTTACAATAATTTTAGATGCCACAGAAGTTAGGATGCAGATGTCCCGTAATTTTCAAAGGCAAGGAAATACTCATTCTGCATACAAACATTATAATTCTCTCAAGTTCTTGGTTGGAATTTCATGTAGAGGTGGGATCATCTATAATAGTGAAGGATTTGAAGGTTCCATTTGTGATCCCGAATTAATTCGTTTATGTGATCTTGAAAATTTCTTGGAAGAAGGAGACGTTATTATGGCTGATCGTGGATTTACAATTCAAGAATTGTGTAATGAAAAAAAATGGAAATTGTTGATGCCGCCCTTTTTAGCAGGGAGGACAAAACTGACTGCAGAAGAAGAAATACTTACTAAGAAGATTGCAAAGTGTCGCATCCATGTAGAACGAGCAATACAGAGAATTAAATCTTTCCAAATTTTGTCACGGCCAATAAGAATTTCAATGCTGCCTTTAATATCAAACATATTTAGCGTAATTTGCTTTTTAGTAAATTTTGAAAAACCATTGGCTAGTTAACTTTTGCTTATTTTATTAAAATAATCATTCATATAATTGTACAAGTAAACTTTAGGTCTAATAATGTAATTATCAATATCAAACATGTGTAATTAAAACCTGTTCCTATCGATTTTGTATTACTTATTCTTAATCAATTTCATAACATGGTAAGTTACGAGGAATTTTCATAAGAAACATTTCTGGAACATACATTTTATAATACATCGATTTAAGATTTACTTTTATATCAAAAAGAACTTGTGGATC